TTATTATCTTTTGGTGATGACATGTTTCCTTGATTTTTCATGACTTTGTAGTATTGCATTGTTGTTTCTGCATTTGAAGTAGCAGACACCTCCTTAAATCTTTACTAGTTGACTTCAGATGGGCTATTCTGTTTATTGGTGCTATTATATCTGTGTTTTATATGCCTTTGTATGGGTACACCTGCTCCATTCTTCTTGCTTTCTACTGTGGCAGAGTTCTTAAGCTTTTATGTCTTCTCTAGATCTTACAATTCACCAGTCTGGCTACTGGAAACTTCTCTTTTGTTTTCTAGGAGGTAGCAACATAGCTCAAGTGTGTGGTTTCCCCCCTGCACTCAGACCCTAGTGTGCTTTTCTGATAGCAATACATTTACCACACTAGCTCTCATTGTTGAGCTCAGGAGCATACACAAGGAGCAAGCTACAAGGTGGGTAGAGTTATGTGTTCTGCCCTCAGGGCTTTGGGGGTGCCTGCAGACCCAGTGGGGAGATTTTCAGGTGAGGTTTTCTCACAGGGACATGGGAGGCCTTCCTGCTAAAGTCCTGAGCAGGATCAGGAGGAACCTAGTTCCTTTAATGCCCTTGGATATTCTTATCTGCCTCTTTCCCATCTCTGCCCTCCCCCAGTCATGGAGGCCATGCCCAATACTCTGGATGATGCTGGAAAGTAATGTGTATTTCGACCCATGTCTCACACAACTGGGATAGCTAGGCACTGACTCGCCACTCTCTGTTTCCCCCACTGGTAAGATCACCACCACCAGATAGTTTAGCCTATGCAATCCCACCAAACTCATGCTGGACACGCGCCTCAGGGAGACTGGACTTCTGCAAATTCTGTCTCATCTGTGGGCATCTGCCCAGGTCAGCACTCTGAGGGTTTTCTGACAATTGCCATATGGCAGGCGCAGGTTTGCTGGCTCTACTGCTTCCACAGCCCATTCTGAGGTCTTGTGCTGATTACCAGATACATGTGGGTGAGACTCCTTTCACATCCTTTGGCATATGCTGCCACATGCAACAATTCCCACAGGGGCACTTTTGTTTCTGTATATGGGTTTGATTAGCTGTTTTAAAAGTGGGGCAAGGGACAGCCGAGTGGTGTGTTGGTTAAGAGCTGGATTGGGACACCAGTGGGACCCAGTTTGGATCCCACATATAAGGGCCAGTGACACTGCCCTCTATAGCTAAGATGCTGAACAACAGCTCAACCTGGAGCTGGGCTGCCGTGAGTCGCCGGCGAAGGCGTAGGCTGCAGCCCCTGTGGCAGTGGGTTGCCATAAGCTACTGTGTGTAGCCGGCAGCCAGTGTGAGTGGCCAGCAGCTGCCATGAGTGGCCATCGAGAAGCCGGCGACTGATCTTCCTCGCCCAGGAAGAGCGCAATGATGGT